GCCTGGCCTCCATCTGCGACTCGGACACGGACCCCCGCGAGCTGGAGGCCTTCGCCGAGCGCTTCAAGCAGCGGCGCATCAAGCTGGGCGTGACCCAGGCCGACGTGGGCTCGGCCCTGGCCAACCTGAAGATCCCGGGCGTGGGCTCGCTGAGCCAGAGCACCATCTGCCGCTTCGAGTCGCTCACCCTGTCCCACAACAACATGATCGCGCTCAAGCCCATCCTGCAGGCCTGGCTGGAGGAGGCCGAGGGCGCCCAGCGCGAGAAAATGAACAAGCCCGAGCTCTTCAACGGGGGCGAGAAGAAGCGCAAGCGGACTTCCATCGCCGCCCCGGAGAAGCGCTCCCTGGAGGCCTACTTCGCCGTGCAGCCCCGGCCCTCCTCCGAGAAGATCGCCGCCATCGCCGAGAAATTGGACCTGAAAAAGAACGTGGTGCGGGTTTGGTTTTGCAACCAGAGACAGAAGCAAAAAAGGATGAAATTTTCCGCCACCTACTAAGCGGAGGAACCCACCCCAGGCGCCAAGTTTCCATCCCCTGGAGTGTGGGCGAAGGGAGGAGGTGGAGGGGGGCAATGTGGGGCTGGGAGCGAAGGGAGGGAGATTGGGGTGTGCGAGTGGGAGTGGAGATTGTGGACCAGGCGAGGGGGAAGCCAGTGGACTTGTTGTTCGACCAGAGACACTCTCCAAAATCTCCTGGGGACCAAGGAACAGTGTAAGGGAGAAAACAAACAAACAAACTTCGTGAAGAAACTAGAACAACCAGAAGAGCAAAAGTAAATGCTCTGCAAATCCATGGGGGTCGCTTCTGCAGGCTGATCGCCCCCTTTTACAGGAAGAGAGAGCGAGACCAACTCAAGCGTAAACACACCGAGACACACACCAAACTTACAAATACATACGTTTAAAATAAACCCTTAAGTCACCAATTAAAAAAAAAAACAGAGAGAGAAGATACCCCACAATCCAGCAGCTGAAACTGTTGGTGATGATGCTCGTTGTTTCTGTTTGGGTCTCTTTTTGTTCTTTGCTTTTTAACTATGTGTTTTATGAGGCTTTGTGACGGTTCTTCTCTGTGTTGCTGGGGGGAGGGGGTTGGAGAGGGAGGCTTTTGCAGTTCCCACTTCGGTTCGGATGCGTGGGGAGAAGGGAGAGATGTTGGCCCTTGTTTCATAAACACTAACTAGGTACCAGCCGGGCGTGAATGCTCAGTCACAGGCTTTATTTATACTCTTGAGAAATTTTCCCTTTCTTCGGCCCTCACTCTGCCATGGAAGCCAGCCGTTTTTATAGCTAGCTGTATAAAAAGTTACTTGCTCCTTTGTTCCTTTTCCTCCCTGTGTGTGCTTTGTGTTTCTATCTAGAGAGAGATCCATATCTCAATAGAGATGCATCTAGCTAGAGATACAACGCATACGTGAGCTGATAGACTGCCCTGGCTGCCCCTGTTAACGTTAGAAGAAAACACGCTCTGAGTCATTAAGTCTCAGGGTTAAATGTGTCCTTCCCCTCTGACGTCTCTTCCAAATCTGTTGGAGAGGTTTAGAAGATCGCGGTGGTAGAAGGCTTCCTGTGAGTAACAGGGTTTATTTTACTGAGCAGGCAAGCGAAATCACCAATGTAAAGAGGCAGGATTGGAAACGACATTTGTTTCTGCGGGGTCTGCATGTGGAGGGGGAACACATGTGGGTTTAAAATCGTTTATTGTAAATAATAAACGTTAAGTAGAGGACTTGTTTTGTATGGTTACAATTTGCACTATCACAGTATCCCAAATTGGAAAGCAAAGCAACTATTCCGTGTTATTAAAGATAAAGGTTTATATCTCGGGGGATTGTAGGGGGAAAAGAGAGAAAGATGGCCAGAGTTCGTTGGATAAAAAAAACCAGCTGTGTACAAAAGACATTCATGGGAGCTGGTGTTATTGGAAAGGCTTTAAAGCCCAAGCATTTCTGAAAAAGAAAACACCCTGCTGTTTAAAACAAAGACTGGACTCATGCATGACCTGAAAAAGGCACAGAAAGATCCGTTATAAGGTCTCGCTATTATTTATTTATTTATTTGATTATTTATTTGATTATTTGTGTATCATTGTTTGCAGCGCAAACATTCTATGCATTTTGAAACTGAGCACTAAAATAGAGTAGCTTCTGGTAGAACCTTTTGTGGATGGTGTAATTTCACAGTTTACTGCCTGTTTTCACTGAAAACACAAACATTCTTGTCACGTTCTTGTATTTAGATTTTATTTTAAAAAGGGAAGGTGATTGTAAATATTTTCTTTAATGCAGTACACACACACACACACACACACACACACACATACACACACACACACACACAAATACAAACTGCAACCACGTGTGGATCCTGAAATGTCTCACTGAATTTTCTCCCTGTCCATGTATGTTTGCTGAGCTTTCTCCTTGGTTGTGTCTTTACTATATTACTTTTATTTTTATCATAAATATTTCTGTAACACAAAATACAACAGGGAGATGCGTCCCAGCACACTTACAAATAAAACAAACATGAAAACAGAATAGTTTATTATTGGGTGCATCTTTTTTATTTATTTCTGAAGCACGGCTGATAAATTCAAAGGATAGCCGTTAGACAAATACTAAAATTCTACCAAAAATAAAAATAGCGAGAGATGTATTTTTCTGCTAAATTCAGAAATCATTACTTTGAGATAGCTCTTATGTGAAAATCGGTGCTCTGAATAAAATTAACTATATATTAGCTGCGTGTGGTTCTTGAAGTTTATTCTATAACTGCAGAAAATATAAATCAAAGTGAAATTAAAAAGGACTTCTGAAGTATTTCTTTTCAGTTTGATGGAAAGGATTATGCACCTACAAAATATGTGTAAAGAAGAAAAACGCTTGGTGGTTTCAGGTTTATATGTTGTTCTGACTGGCCTACTTGCACTTAATTATGTAACAAAATATTTTATTTTTATTTTGTGTTAATAAATATGAAAATCATAAACTGATCTCTCCTTACGTTGTAAATGCAATTGTTCATTAGGAACGTATAGGATGCCACCTACTGCTTCAAGTGATCAAAGAACCTCTTTCGTTTCTGATGACTTGTGACTAGATCAGATGCCAAATGTAAAAAGTTACTTAATAGCTGGGATTACTTCTTCTGTAAACATAGTTCAGCCAAATCTTTTTAATTTCGCCGGTAAATCTGTGAATCAAACACATAACGTGATGTTCAGAAAAGAATAAAACGTTCGAAAAGCTGTGATTTTAAGTAACTGTTGATGTTAAAAACAAAAGCACTAAAGGTATTTTTTAAAAAATAGACCTCGTCCACCGGAAATTGACTTGTTTCTGTTGTTATTAACTTGAAATGTCATCAGAATTTTTAATAAATGCATTTGTAAAAATATTATTTTATAGAAAAAGTATTACCGGATATCATTTTTGGAGAGTCAGGAATGAACAAAAAAATAAATTACACACTTTTTTTTAATCTTCCCCATAACTGAAATGTTACAGGACAGCACGTTTGTATTATACAACAATGACCAATGTATGTATTGAAAAGTAAAGAAGTTTGTTTTGTATTAAGTACAATCCTTATCGAGTACAAAGCAAATACTATGTTAATAAAACAGATAATGAAAACAATAACAGCTTTGCAGAGTTTCCTATTTTTTATGGTAGGAAACTGTGCAAAACCAGAATGCTCTGCTTTCTGTGGAATGGATTTGAAAATTTCAAGACAGAATGCCAAGTAATACTGAAGCCTTTTTAATCACCTCATTGAGAATAGCTCCGGGGGAGGCTGGAAAGTGTGGTCACTCAAAGGCCGTTTAAAATGTTGCTTCTTAAAAATACTAAAGAAAGAGAAAATTCATTCCAATATATTGTCAAGAAATATGTTATCACCAGAGCAGGGAATTCAAGTTTGTTGCTAAAAAGTTAGAATTATTCTCCGTGCTGGGAGATGCTGCACACCCATTCTAGAATATACCTAATCTCTTCAGAACTCCTGGGCCGGTTCAGAAACTGTGACCCCTGCAGTAGAAGCGCGAGGAAACTTAGGTACCGTAGTCTTCAGTTTTATATATAATTTTCACATTTCCCGCATCCTGTGGATTTCCTGGTCTGATTTCCAAGCTAACTCTCTAAGACCTAGACTGACTTCTGGAATTTCTGTTTAACACTTGTTCTCCAATTGCTTTCAACTTAGATTAGACCATCATAAATGAATAATAGACATCCACTGCCATGATAGTATTGATTTTTACTCTCCTGTGATATTAAGACTAATTCGGTCCTGGTTCAGCAAGTAAAAGGCTCCCCAGAAGAAGAATGAAGTGTCCTACAGCAGAGATTTTATGGTCTATATCCCTCCCGTCCCTACTCATTCCTTGTTCCCTCCAAATAGAGACAGATTTGTCGAAAGATAATTATTTTAACTCTGACGGACTTGATCGCATAAAGCTGATAACTACTGCTGCTGCCCTCTGTTATTTCGCTTTTCCCCAAACGGTTTAAACTCCCTCCAGTTATTTAGGTCTTGCTTTGCAGCCGATGTCTTTTTTAAGCTTTTATTATATTTACCTGCTGATTCAAAAAGAGGAGAAACGCTTAATTGACTCTAAAATAGCAGCAGCGGAATTCCAATTCGCAGGGGAACCTGTTTCCACCTGCGAGACAAGCCTATTATTATCATCAGTAATTACGTTATTTAATAGTTGATAAAATATTAGAGCTCAGTGCTGCCTAGGCCCATTCTCCAGCCTCAGTAAAAATGGGCCCTATGCCAGAAGAGCGATGGGGTCTGCGGAGCAGTTTTTGATCACGTGCGCTACAAAAGGATGGCTGCAAATACAATTACGGAGCCGCCTTTAATAATTCATGGGCTGAGATTTAGAAAATTAATAAAATGAATTATAACAAGAGGCTAATTAAAAACTTTAGTAATTGTTGTCAAGACAGCTTGATGGGAGGCGTGCCGCACGACCCCCCTCTCCTGCTTTTGGAAAACATTTTTTCTGGGAAAACCTGAGAATGTGGAAGAGACTGGGTTGGTAGGGAGAGCCGGGTTGATCTGTATTTGATTGGCGATCATTTGTACTGGAATCTGATTCGAATGTGGGAAAAATAGCAACCAGGTAGCTACAAGACTGCAAGTCAAAAGGTCCCACCGTGTGACGTTAACCTACAACAGGAGCTCACAGATGAGTGTTCGAGCAAACAGACCACACCAACAACACGCCAAGTGTCTCTAAACGCGCGGAGTGTTCCTAAACACAGGCAGCTGAGCGCCTCCAGAGCTGTTGGCTTTGCCTTATTCGGCTAAAGAAAGGATTTGGAGACCCAGGGTTCGAACGCTCAGTCCCTAACCAGGCAAGTCCCGCTCCCTGACGGACTGTAGTAAGCGTGGTCTGAGAGTTTTAAGAGGGCACCCTTGTACACGTCCATCCCATCGAGCTAGACTTTGATCTGAGACTGAGCGAGGGATGCAGGATAAGCTGGGCGTAGTGTGAAGCATTTGATTTATACCCCTCCAAAGTCAAAGTCAGCGGTAAGATACCACCTCAACTTCAACTTGCCCTTTGTGACTAGGTACTGCAGGGGATCAAATGTTGCTCCACTGATAACAATACTGAGGCAAACGGGGCCAGATTTGATCTTGGTGTAACTGAGACGAAAGCGGTGAAATTACACCAGAAATTTATTTGGCCCAAATGGGCCACTAAGGGCTGGATCCCCCTCTTTAACTTAAATGACTTTGCTTTGGCTGATTTCAAAAGGACTTTAACCTTCGCTTAACACGGAGCTGAGTTTTAATTTCCTTTGTTTTTGTTGACGGGTGGGAGCGAACGATAGAAGAAGAGGCAGCTCACTTGAAGCGTACCAGAGTCACTTTTCAAGCTCTTAGATCCTTGACACCGGGGTAAAGGATCTGAAGGAGCCCTTTCCGGTCCATTGAGGCAACTCAGACTTTTGGAGAATCTTAATCCAGGGATTATTGGCAGTCTGGACCTTACTGGTTCCAGTGTAGTGTGTCAATGCGAATTTATTGACATTTAAACTGCAGATCCCTGTCTGACAGTTTAATGACTGAGCACGTGAACAAGAATTTGCATATGCAAAAATATTCTGAACAAATTATGTGCTGTATCTCCTGTCCAAATTCCTTATGGTAAATAGTTGCTGTGCAGTACTAGTCCCTCATGCAACATTATGATGAGTCTTTCAACTTTCTTTATCTAAATACCCAAAGGCATCACTGGTTGGGGGAAAGGAAATTTCTTTTCAAATAAACGTGGTCTTTCTGTGTGTTTTGTACAAAACTCCTAACATAACAATGCAGAAATCCTGATGTCACATTGTCTTCTCGTTTGCCCTTTTAGAGATTCAAGTGGCCAAAGGGATTTAAACCGACTCTGAAAAATAAAAAAAAGAAAGACTACATTGATACGTTACGGGTAGACTGTCGCTCAGAGCTGATTTTTTTTTTTTTTTTTTTTTGCAGTCAGGTAATAAGCCTCTCAAAATAGCAGTGGAAATGCTGACCGACCCCCTGACTACAAGGGCTGTGGCATAGAGTAGTTTCCGGTGCTGGGTGCTTTGTGCTTGAGTTATAACCCTTCTAAAAATAAGGCTTAATAATGCCTTCATTTAGTGCTAACAAGCACTAAACTACAGATATGAGCCATACTGCTGTAAATATCTACACCTATAGCTAAAGAGAGGGGTAGGTGTATACCCACTACCTACCCAGCAGGAAAGAAAAACAGCTAAAAGGTGTAAGCTAAAGCTAAAATGCTACGTGCCCTTCTTTTTTCATGTGTAAAAAGATGTTTCCGGAGGGAAAGGATAGCATGTCAACCGGTATTCCTCTTTGCACAAGGCTGCTTAAAGACAAAACGCCTATATGCATAACTCAGTCCTTGATTATGGTCATTATGTAAACGGAATTACTAACAAAAGTTTGTTTGGTAACTAATTATTCCACAATCGCTGCCTCTCTTCACTTCAGCATAATGTATACAAACTTTTGTACACATGGATCAGAATAAAACAAAGTGTTGACAGCATCCAGCAGTGGAAATTCACTTACACAAGACTTTTTCTCACTGAAGTGTTGACAATAAACATTTAATGAAGGCAGAGACTTGGATGTCTCCAGACAGTGTCAGAATACTTTAAACAGACCATTAGCATGGCTTCTTCTACTTCAAACAGAGCACACTATACCATAACATTATAAAAAATACAAAGTATGAAACAAATAATCTGTTTATACAGATATTTTAAGCTGTTTTCACCAGTTCTGACATCCCCTGTATTTAGGAACAGAAACTTACTCAATGCAGATTACTCGCGGTTAAAAAATGTTAAATACAGTTAATGCAATATTAATCGCCCTTTGGTGATATAAAATGCAATATTTTCAGGCAGCTATCGAGCTTTTCTAGAGGAAGAGCTGATGAAAACAGTCACAGCTGAATAGTGGAGAGAAAAAAGCTCTGTATTTATTGCTTTTGTTTGGCTTTTGGCTACAGAGACAGGAACATTCTAATGGGGTAAGGACATTTATTTTATCTGCAATCTATTGCTGCTAGAGCAGGAGTGGCAGATGGGGTTTGGTGTTATATTCACGGAGTAATTTAGAGCAAATCCTAATAACTAATAATGATTTATGTTAATTTCAATCACTTATGTGACTTTATTAAAGCAGTGCTGTAAAAGAAAAAGGGATTCTGGAGAGGCAATCTGTATTTAACTGAAACCGAACCGCATGCTTTAAAAAAAAGAATTAGGTTGCTTTTGTGGGTTACTCTGCAAATTGTGACCTGGTGAAGGCATTGTCTATGAATATTATTCAGATACGGTACAGGGCATTCTTTTGAGATTGTGCATCTTCAGACCTAATTTCCGAAACAAAATGCTCCATGGAGAAAACCTAGATACCTACAACAATAAAACATCTTCATATTTATTATGCAAAATGCATTGATTGTGTTAAAAGAATTTGCTGTTTTAATGTGCTGGGTTACTATGCCGTCCACGTAAGCGTTTATCAAGCCTTTATTCTGGCGGGAATAAATGGTAACACCCCAAAAGTACTGTATGCAAAACTTCTATTACGGATTGCATAAATGTATGGAGATCTCCGATTCTTTACCTACCTCCTGAAACCCTAGCTCCGGATTTATTCCTCACTGGAAGTCTCTAGTTAGTTAGGATTGTGTATTATCATAAATGAATGGCTGTTTCCAAGAATCATTTGCATTTTCCCCTACAATCTTCAGTCCCATTACAAACTGGTCCTATTGGCACATACACACCTAGTCTATGCAAGTGCACTGTAAGGAAGGGAGGTTTCCAAAGGGAAAGGAACCGACTAGTGCTTTTCTGCTTAGGAGCAGTTTGATGTACAGGAGATGAATCTTACAATATTTTGAAAGGGAGGGTGTTCTTAGCTTCTGGCAATTTACTTTCTCAGCTACCTTTCTGCGTTTTTCCGCCTTGAGGCATACAGTCTGAAAGTAAAACAACATCAAAGCTCCTGATTAACACTATTTCCCTGAATTCAGAAGACGACTCTAGCTGGAACGTTTAATCTGGTGTTAGCGTTTATTTTCGAA